ACGAAAATTACTTAAAAAATTTTGAATGGATAAATGTCATCCTCTTAGTACACCAATGGTTGTTCGATCATTGAATGTAAACAACGACCCCTTCCGTCCGCTGGAAGAGGGGGAGGAAATGCTAGGTCCTGAAGTACCTTACCTCAGTGTCATTGGAGCACTATTATATCTGGCTAATTGTACGCGTCCCGATATATCGTTTTCAGTTAACCTTCTAGCCAGATACAGTGCAGCGCCCACAAAGCGCCACTGGAATGGAGTTAAGCATCTTCTGCGCTACCTCCAAGGGTCTATAGACCTGGGATTATATTTCCCGAAGGGTGGGTCTCCCACCTTAATTGGTTATTCAGATGCAGGTTACAGGTCTGATCCCCACACCGAGAAATCACAAACCGGATTTGTGTTTACATTCGGTGGTACGGCCATCTCCTGGAGGTCTGTCAAGCAAACCACTGTAGCAATCTCATCCAACCATTCCGAACTCCTCGCGATCCATGAAACCAGCAAAGAATGTGTTTGGCTTCGTTCTGTCATTCAGCACATCTTAGTGTCTACCGGCCTGAAGACTGGTGACCTTGAGCCAACTACTATATTTGAAGACAATGCAGCCTGCGTTGCTCAACTTCAGTCTGGCTTCATCAAGGGTGACAAGACGAATCACATATCTCCCAAGTTTTTCTGGACGCACGATCTTCAAGAGGAGGAGCAAGTTAAAGTACAGCAGATCCAATCATGTAATAATTTATCTGACTTGTTCACTAAGGCTCTGCCTAGATGTACTTTTGTAAAACTTGTAAAAGGAATAGGGATGAGACATCTGAAAGACCTACAAGCCTGAAGCTTGTATGGTTCAGGGGGAGTAACCTATGGGTTGTACTCTTTTTCCTTAGGCTGATGGTTTTTTCCCACTGGGTTTTCCACAGCTAAGGTTTTAACGAGGCAAACAAGTTTACTCTGGATCCAGAAGTATCCACCCCATTAGCTTTACGAACTCTGAAATGTTCATAAGCTAAACCCAAGGTAATGGATGGATAAGGGGGAGTATTATGAGATGAGGGAGGCTTTTGGCCTCCCCCTCATTATCCCTCCATTTACACCCCATTATGATGGTGTAACACCCCATTAAGTGGGGGTGACTCTTGGGTACTCAACCTATTCACATTGACTATCTATAAATATACATCATAGGCCTTTGGCCTATGTAAGAGTTTCAAACATAAAGAATTTATTTTTATCATTTTAATTTCTATGATTTTTTGTATTTGTAAATTATATAATTACAAGTGATTAATAATATGATTGTTTTTTTTATCAAAAGTTCGCTTAAAAGAAAAAAAGGAAAATGCTCGGCCCGGCCCGGTGCCCGGCCTAGGCCAACGGGGTCAGAGCCACGGGTTTTGCCCGACCCGATTGGACAGACTAGTTTACTTAACCTAAGCCTTAATTTAAAGGTTAAGATTAAGTAAACCCAACCATCACCCTCTATTTTTTAGGCGAGTGACGGTGACACTCGCCATGCGTGTGTGTCGCTAGCCCTCCTTGAAGGAGATTTAAAGGTTTGATTGAGGAGTTACAGCATCTAAAAGTGGAGTTTTGATGAATCCAGGCATTGCACGATTGGTTCGGATATTGTTTTTGGCTCGTTCGCACGCCAAATCCTTGTTAGCATATGTTCAGTGCTCCTAGCGGAAATAAGATAGAAATTTGAAATTGGGTTCAGCATCAGTTTGAACCAAAAGTTTCTAAATCATCCGTTGTGGATGCATATGATTTTCAAAAGGTTTTTTCTTCGTCTGCGCGTACGCACCCGTAGAGCCCAAGCAATTTTATGCACCATTCGTTATCCGCGAGCTAACCTGACTTTGGTCTCAATCAATAACTAATCGTGAATCAAAACATAAACTACCAACAATACTTGGGCTAAACCGTTAATCATGGTACAAAACATGACTACTAGCGTCCATGAGATTGTTCAGTGCATATGGGCTCCGGGTCCATCATTTTGTCGGGACATTCTCGTGGCCCAACCCACTGAGTTTGTAGGCTAACAAAACAAAGTGTTCGATATTGGCTCTTAACTATATATTTAACTTGTGGCTATTTACTAATTCTTTTGAAATGAGGATATATTCATAACTGAAATTCCAAGCAGCTTATACGCATGATTCTTAGTCATACATATTGATATTTGATGGTTTTCATATTTTTAGAAAAAAAAAATGAGCTTAGAATATCAGACGAAATTTGTCGATCAATTCTAAAAAGTTGATTCCAAATTTGTAGCCAATGTGAGAAAGTATACATCAGCTATGCAATCAACCGCGGGCTTGATAACAGTGAAGAAACAGCGAGAGAAGTGCAGGAATTAGCAGGAGAACGGCCAGGCAGACTTGCAGTCGACCACGAGTCAGTGGCGGTCGACCGTAAACATGCACAAAACGCAATAAGATTCGGAGCTGAAGGCGGTCGATCGCCACGGTCGACCGCGCGAACCCTGTAATGGATTTAACTCTCGGGAATTGGCTCGGTCGACCGTGGCAGTCGATCGTGAGTTTCCTGTAGCCGATTTATTCTCTGTCGGGGGTGTTTGGTCGACCGTCGCGGTCGATCGCGATACCTGCGCGGTCGACCGCAGTCTGTTTTGGGCCGGACTTTGGTATTTCAACCCGTTTTGAGTTAGTATATAACTCTAATCCTGATTAGTTAGGGTTACGTAATGACGTTTTTGAGCAGTCTTTGGGATAAGATTGCTGTAACCAATTGTGGGAGATTTGAGCTTTGTTTTAGGGTTTGATCGGTGAGATTTGTAACTCTATTTGTATTCTCTTGATTTCTAATAGTAAGAACTCCCATCTCCTTGTCCCATGGACGTAGGCAACTTGCCGAACCACGTTAAACTCGTTGTCTTGCTGTGGTATTATGTTTGGCTTATTAGTTGTGATTTATCTCTTGGATTGTTCGTGTCGCTTCAAGGCTTCCGCCGCGCACAACAAACAACGGTACCTGCGTTATTAATCTTTAGATTAGATAAGAGAAACACTAGTTTAGTTACTAAAACATTACTTTAAAGATTAATTGCAGATATATGTTGGCAAACTCCTCAAAACAGGATCAGAATTGAGCGTAGCCCTGTTTTGAGATAAACTAGTTCTGTTTAGATACAGAGAAGAGATGGGTCAATACTGAACTAGTTTTGTGGGCATTTTTGGTATAGGAAAAACTAAGACAATATACAACATTTGTTAGCACCCAAAAAAATATACAACATTTATTAGCATATATCATGTGGTCACCATAACGATAGTAACTTTTGCTAGTTTTAACCACACTACTTCCTCTTGAAATACTTCTAGTATATGTCAAATTCTGACCGCCCCATGATTTTATGATATAATTTAAAAACTAAGAGAAAAACAACGTTATCATTACCATCAGATATTGTTTGTGTCAATGAAATAGAGCATAAGTGATGAGTAGTTAAAAGCCATAGTAAAGGGGGGTATATCTATAATTAATACTTTATTTCATGAGCAATGGGTTGAAGAGTATGTTGAGCTTTCCATGAAACTTGGAAGAAACCTTCTCCTTTAATTTCTCTCGCTCAACTCTGGTAGACACATCACAAACTGATCCTTTAATATACTGAACTTCGATTTCTCCCACTCTTGCAAGCATTTGTTAAGTTCTGCTTCCTTTCTAGAAAATGTGTATACCATATAGCTCCAAACCCAGCTAAATCTTCAACAATTGCATACCTGCAACGGATTGAAAATGTATAGTTCACACCTATTAAATACCCATCATTATAAAGTTATTAAAAGATCATTTTCTCATAAAAAAGTTATTAAAAGTTCATACTTGCTCGTAAAAATAGGACAAATTTTCATAACCGACCCATTTCATGATTTAATTGCAAAAAACGACCCGTTTCTATTTTATTTATAAAAACCGACCCAGTTGGTTGAAACTGGGTCGGTTTTTAAAAAAAATTTCCCCAAACTTCACGGGAGTTCAACTCCCGTGAAGTTTCGTAAATTTTTTTTTTAAAAACCGACCTGGTTTCAGCGACAGTGCTGAAACCAGGTCGGTTTCTCTAAATAAAACAGAAACGGGTCGTTTTTCGCAATTAAATCATGAAAAAGGTTGGTTTTGAAAATTTGTCCCGTAAAAATACAATAAAAGGTATCTGTAATTTTCAAATGAGTGAAAATTAAATCTCTTGGGTTCTTATAATTATGTAAAATAATAATTTTAATAATTTAGTAATTGGTATCACGCAATCAAGCTCACATGTAAGGAGATGAGAAATTATTCATCAAATATTAATACCAAGTTTTTCACATGCTTCTAATTGGTAGATTTCTTACTTTCGAGCGACGTACGTAAAAATTTATATACACCATCATTTATAAGCTTCTTCATCTTCTGGCGGCATATTTTTATCTATAATAGCTAAGGCCCTTATTAGAAATATGAGCAACTGTCTTAACGATGACTCATTTATACTTTCCAGACATTTAATGAGGTAAACTAAACTCGAAACTCAAATTATTATTAACATAAACATGACAGAACTCAACATAAACATGACAAAACTCAAGTTAACCAATTGAATTAGTACTTGACTCAAAGTAAGGTTGCTAGCTCAAGTTCTACTAATTAACACTCGGCGCTGTGAATTACAAACAATTGAAGAAAAAAAAAGATAGAGGGAAAATTTAAAAAAAATGAATAAATATAAGATACCCAATTCCTTTGATTCCTTTACATCGGCGGTGACTTCAGGTAAGTTTGGAAAATTCGCTATGCCAGCGAAGGAATCATATGGCAACGAGGTAAATTACCAGCAGTGGCCTGTGGGTGTAAAAGTCAACAACTTCCCTTAAAAGAAAAAAAATCTTAATAATTCAAAAAATGTCATTTCCTCAATAGCATAAAGCCGAAATGAAGCCGAAACACAAATCATTGTCAACTTAAAAAAAAAAAGAATAAGAAAACACTTAAAACGGTAATATAACAGACCATTGAGAAGAAACAACTGAAGAGAGCCTACGACTCTGTACTATCAACCTGAATACAATTAAAGAAAGACATTTAGCTTAAATACTATACAAAAAGGTTCACTTGCCAGACTCTCACCTTTTATTTTCCTTATAATCTACAATTCCACAGAAATGGTCCGCGCAGAAAAAAAAAAAATCAAAACCTCCAACAATGATATCATATCTAGTGACATTTATCTGGTGTACTCCATTTCTTCTTCTGTTCATCAAAACTTCCAACCACAGCCGATTGCGTCTTGTTTCCTAAAAATTTGGCAAAAATACTGTAGTATGCTTCGGTATCCAAGCTATCCAATACAATTACTGGCTTCCCGTTCCTTTCGTCAACTGTGGTTTGTCCATCTATTGACACGTTACCAATCGACACGGCAATTTTTTTGGCTTTGATAACAGGACTTAAATGAGATTGATCAGACATGAACACTGCTCCGAGGATTTCTCCCAGAAATACGTCCTACAAGTAAGTAAGAAAGGTCGTTTGTCATTTACTGGGTAAATTTCAGAAAACCCCTCTGAGCTATGAGGCGTTTTGCACCAAATCCCCCTAAAGGGCCTAAACTACAAAGCACAGAAAATTCCCCTAAACTTGTCTCGCTTAAGGGCATCTCCAACCCAGCACCAAAATGGTGCAAACAGTGCTTTTTGTTGCACTGTTCATTCTCCAACCCAGCCTCATTTTCTGCGCCATTTTGGTGCAGTTGAACAATGCTGCACCAAATATGGTGTTGCACTGTTCATCCATCCCATTACTGTTCATTTAAAAAAAAATAAATATTTATTTTTACCTCTTAATTAATATAAAAATAGATAAAAGGAAATAAACTGAGAATATTCTTTTTTGGTGCAAAAAATGGTGCAATGGGTTGGAGATGTATTACTGTTTGATGTCACTTTTGCACCATTTTGATGCAAAATTTGCACCATTTTGGTGCAATGGGTTGGTGATGGTCTTAGGAATCATGACTGGGCACAGTTGCTTTAAGTTGCACGTGCCCCAGATGTGGCAACTTTTGAAGTAAAAGGTTAAGTTTTTAGTTTGAACTTGGCATTTTGCCCGTGAATGCCGTTTATATGAATTTTATCTTTCAGTTTGCATAATTTTGAAAGCTCGGGGAGTTTTGTCCAAAACACCCTAAAGTCAGGGGACAGTTTGAGATTTACCCTTATTAAATTGATGCAAAATACAAGAAAAGCAAGATTAGGGAAAAATTAAAAATTAAAAATTACCATATGGTGGTATTGCCGGTGTTTTTTCTGTAGTCTCTGCAACAATGACAACAATTGATGGACAAAAATTGATTCAGGAGTGCCGCAAGAAAGCTGAAGGTTCTGAAGAATTGCTTGGAAGGAAGTCACTTTGCGCTGAACTTTGAGAGAGATGAGAGTGATGTCAAGGTTGGATTCTACGACGGTTTTTGCAGCTAGGGGATCAAGAAACATGTTGAACTCAGCAAATTTATTTGAGGGAACTGTGAAGACATTCCCTTCCAATTTTTCATCATCGATAATATTTCCACCAACTATGTACACTTTCTAGGCATGAGAAAACAAAGATACAAGTTATAAGGTCATCGCATTATAGTCCAGCTGTGATAAGAGCATCAGAAACATAAATGAGGGTCACAGATTGAAGTAAAAACTAATCGCAACATTGCAACTTCCATATGAACCATGTGATATAAGTCTCCAACAAAGGAGAAATCAGGTGCCTCTAGAACAGTAAAACCGAGATCACCGTTATTTGCGGAAGCACAAAGAAACAACCACATTGATGCTTATTTATACAAGGAGACCCATTAAAATTGTAATTTAAACTGAATCTGTACTTCAAATGTACTGCTATACAACTTCTTGTTGATTTATATTAAAGTAAGCTAATATTCGTTGTTGTTAGGACTGGTATGCTGTTTGTTGCTATGATGCTAATGACATAAATAAAGTGACTAAAATATCTCACCTGAATAAATGAAGTTGCATTTTTATCTGAAAGAAGAATGTTGGCTAAATTGGTCAGAGGTCCATTTGTCAGAATTGTGATTTTCTCACTTGCATTCGCATCCCGGGAAATGGACTTCCAGACTTCCAAAGCCAGCTGCTGCCTAAGTTCAGGGTGATCAGTGTTTCTTGGAGCTCCATACTCCACGGAATTTTGAGCTGTATAACTGGCTCAATAAGCATGAAGTTAGAATTCATTACTGATGAATTTTGTAAACTAGAAAATATGTAAAATTTATTCAGTCAGGAAATAAAAAAAGGTTATAACTGCAGCTGAAGACCTTGATCACTGCTGCCCTAAAAGAATACACATGAACAGAGCACAAACAGTTCCAAAATATATTATCCCATCATTCAGAAAGTTGAAACCAACTTAAGAAATTAGGGGTGTGTTTGGTAATCAATGTGTTTTTTTTGTTTTGTTTTTTTTTTTGTAAAAAACACCATGTCATTGTGTTTTTTTTTCAAATGTGTTTTAAAAACACCATTTTGGTCAAACTAGTTTGATCGTTAATATATCGCTAGTGCGGGCGAACGGGCGGTCGGGTGACCGGACGGGTGCGGCAGGCCGCGGGCGGCGGCGGGCACCAGCCGACGGTGGCGACACGCGGGGTGGCGGCCGAGGCGGGCCGCGGCGGACCGAGGGTGGCCGACGGCAGGCGGCCCAACGGGCCGGCCGATGGTGGCGGCGGCGGGTGGACGAGTGGCCGGCGATCTGCCGACGGGCTGGTGGCCGAGCGGGGCGCGGCCGGCTAGTGGCTACGACGCGAGTGGAGGGTGGCCGACGACGGCTATCAGGCGGGCGACAGTTGCCGGGGAGCAGCGGACGGGTGGCGACGACGGGGCAGCAATGTGCCGACGCCGTTCGCGGGCAGGACGGCGGGACCAGCCATGAAGATGGCGGGCGATGACGGTGGGTTGGCGGCCGGTCCTGAGGCGGCGGGCGACAGCGGGGGTGGCAACGGGCCGGCATTGCAACGAGCGAGCTGGCCGACGCGGCTTAGATGAAAAAACGAAATCTCAAAATAATTTTTTGATGTTTTGAGAAAAGTGTTTAATTTTTAGATTTTGTAAAAAGAAAAGTCAAAAAAACGTCCAGGTTGTCAAACGCGTTTCTTTGTTTTTGTTAAAAAAAGAGAAACGACAAAAACGTCATGGTTGCCAAACGCTCCCTAAAGAAACGAGAAATTTTATTCATTGAAATAAGGAGGTTATGGGACATTAAACCGTAACAGAAGCGATCAATCAACCTATTGTATTTCGTGTGAAGAAACCTGCTGGATATTTTTCATCATAATTTGGTATTAATATGCTAGACAAGTGAATATACTAGCAGCACAAATGGTTCAACGAAGTACAATGGTACAAACAATACAAGGAACAACGCAAAGAACAAACAATCTTGACCATTAGTTTTTGTATCTAGCATATAATATCTCTGTCTATGGTACACAAAAACATGCAAGATAATACATGTTGATCTGAAAAGGGTGTGGTTGTGTGAATTAATGAATAAACATAATAGAAACAAGAAAAGGACATGCGATACATGTACAAATATTGGAGTCACCAGTGGCGGATCCATGTTGGTTCAAGGTGGTTCACTTGAACCACCTCAGATTTTGAAATATACCTTATATACTATATATCTCTAATAAAGAAACAAAGAGATTGTTGTCCCAACGGTTGAGTATTTGGTAGATGATACATGCTGTTACTGCTTGAGGTCTTCGGTTCGATCCCTTGCAGACAGAGATTTCTTTTAAATACCAATTTCCCCTATTTTTATCCTTCATTTTTTTGCTTCCCCTTTATTTTCTTCTTCTTCTTCTTCTTTCTTTTTATCCTTGAAGTTTTAATTTTCAACTTCTTCAGTTTCTCTAATCATCATTTTTCTTATGAAGATAAGCCTAACCATTCTCTTTTATATATCATGTTTTCCTCTTCTTTTTCTTTATTTTTGTCCTCAAAAAATAATGTTTGAAAAAAAAATTAGCATATATTTTGAACCACCACTAAATAGGTTGTAGATCCGCCACTGGGAGTCACAAATGGCAATACCTTCTAGGGCTTCGTGGCAAATTACGTGCAAACCCAAAAAGCGTATCAGAGTCAATATGTCCACCACTGCCATGAGGTATAGCATTGACAAACTTGCAACCAAGACTTGGACTCTCCAGAGCAGTTAGACTTCCTAGTCCAACAGGAATATCATCACGGCCCATCATATGTAGTACATCGTAGATGATATCTATAGTTGCAGGATTTGCCCAGCCATTGCCACTGATTAGTATCCCCTGTAGTATGGATAGAGAAAGCCGTAATTAATAAAATGGCAAATTTAAAAAGATATGACCTGTGGGCTTTTTTTGCACAAAACTCCCTTTAAAATTTTCTTGTTAGAGAAAACTACCATGACTTTCAAAAGTGCAGAAAAATACCATGAACTACTGAAATTGTTGCTAACGACGTTAACATTTTGAGACACCCTTTGTCCTTAAGCATGGACTTTGCAAATTTTTTCCCTCAATCAGTTTTTTTCTATATCGCGTACAGTTTTTGTTCATGCTATTCCAGAATGTGTCCACTTACAAAATTTAAATGATGTGCACCCCTTTTTTTCCAGAAAATTTCTGTACCGTCTCTTGCAATCTTTTAGCAATATTGACCTCCCTTTCCTCTACCAATCACAAGATGTTCAGTTTATGAAAAGTTCCTATCTATGTTACACGGGTACGGGTACAAATGCAGGTACCAGTACAGAGGTAGGTACGGGTACGGGACTCAACAAATTTGTAAAGGGCAGAATACGGGGACACGAC